AAAACAAGAGATTTTCTACTCTTAAATGAAGAAAAAAATATCAGCAGATCTATTATCAGAGCAATATCAACCTGAGACAGAGAGAGAGTCAGTGAAAAGTAGAATAGGGAATAAATGGTTAAAAAGGATTTTGAAAAGCCAGCTTTAGGCAAATCAGCAGGGCCTTATGACATACTTAGAAGAGTACTTAAGGAATTGGCAAGAGTTATTACATAGCTCCTAGCGATTATTTTTGAGAACTCAAGAGGATAAGGAAAGTCCCTGTAGGCTAAAAAAGGGTAAATGAAGTGCTCATCTTTTTAAAAAGGGAAAAAGGACAATCTTGGTAATTATAGACCTGTCAGCTTAACTTCAATATCAGGGAAAATATAGAACTTAACATCAATCAATTAGCATCAACTTGAAAAGCACAGAGTACTGGGTGGAAACCAATGTGACTTTTCAAATCATGCTAGGCCAATTAATTTCCTTCTGTGATCAGGTGGCCACATAGGCAAGGAGGGAGCAATAGCTATATTCTCATTGACCAAAAGTAGGGCTAAAAGGTTGACTAAATATGAGAACAGAGTCCTCCAGGTGGCCAGTGCTCTTCATCTTTTGAAACAGTTGAGGCCTGGACAGAAATCTATCTGAGAAACATGGTGGGCCACATGGCATTCAGAATCACATCCAACGCTCAGTAGACATTCTAAGTATTAACCTTACTTCCATAAATTTCCAACTTGCTCATTTTCTCCGGATCTCAGTTTAAAGATCAAAGAAAAATGTAATAAAATATCTGTCTTTATTAGAAAGAAAACTTTAAAAAAAAATAAGACAAAAAAGCAACAGGAAATGCACTAATGCCTTTATGATACTGCTCTTTGGCACAGATAAGTGAAATGTAGGCTTAATCCATAGCATGTCATTTTCTATTCATTTAGAATTAGAAAAAATAATCTTTTGAATAGTTAAGGATAAATAAGTAGAAATTTAATAGGTCTCAAATAAGTCTAGGCATTTCTCCAAGTCTTTGAAATTTGATTCCTATGAACTCATAGGCATCTACAGTGTGCAAATATTTAAAATTCTCATCCAAGAAAACTCTTGTTGCTCTGCATATATGAGCTGTGTTTGGATGTTTATAACTAGACAAATTAGGGTAGGTGTTATGTTTGCCCTGTACTAGGAGATATGAGTGAATTCTCATCACCTAGTTGGTCTATCATGTTACCACAAAGCCAAGAGAAACAGGATTTTGGCAAATTTTAGTAAGGATTTCATTGGGTATTTGCTTCACTAAAATAAGCCATTCTGACTTACGCCTACCCCGAATGTTCACTCCTTTGTTTTAGTTCTGTCCGCATTAAGTACTTGCCATGTCTCTTTCCAAGTAGCTCTTCACCCCCAGCTTACCTATGCAGACCCAGGAGTTGGGCTTTTGAGAACCGCCCCATGCATGTGTGTGTGTACACACACATACACATTATTCCCGAGTCCCTTCTCCCTGAACCTCATTTACAGACAAGGTGTGAGAATAACAACATTATTATCTTGAAAAGAACAAAAGCATTTAACTGAAAACATTTAATATAAATACTGGAAATTATACTTACACAAAGGAAACACAAACTTCAGTTTTGTTTGGCTCCTTTCGGAAAGAAGCTTTGGCATACTTCCCCTGCTATCTCAGACAGTCAGGCCGAGTGCCGCTTGTCTTTGCCTGGGATTTCTTTTGCCTGGAGACCACGGTGGTCCGTTTTCTTGTCTGTCTTCTCTATTCTGAGGCATTAAGGATGAAATAAACTTCTGGGAGAGCCAAAAAGAGTAAACAGATTGAACTGACACAATCAGCTGTAGTTTCTGGTTCTGAGCTGGACTGAGCCTCCCTTATCTGTGCTGCCCTGTCCACTCTCACTAAAGAGGGTTTTCTCCTGGATCCCAGCTCTTAATTAATCTCATCAAAACTCCATTTCTCCAGTTACTCAGACCAAAACCTTGGAGTCATCCTACCTGCATAACCATCATCTCCCACAGTCCCACAGCTAATACAGCAACAAATCCTGCGGACTCTACTCTCAAAACATATTTCGAATTCAGCCATTTCTCCCACCTTCTACTGCTACTACTTTGGTCCAAGCCATCATCCTTTCTCGCCCACATTCTTGCAGTAGCCTCCTGGCTAGTCTTCCTGATTCTGCCTCCCTATAGTTGACTTTCAATAGAACAGCCAGCATGTCCTTTGTAACATCTAAAGGAGGCCATGTCATTCCCCTCCGCTCAGTACCCTCCAAAGGTCCTTCCTCTCCCTGAAAGGAAAGGTTAGTCTTCAGAGTGGTGTATGTGGCCCTGGAGAGCCTACCGCCCGCCCCTTTCACCTCTCCGGCACCACTCTCCCCTTCAGCCTCTCTGCTCCGGCCAGAACAAGGTGACTCCTCACACCACGGGGCTCCTCTCACCTCCGGGCCTTGCCACTTGCTGTCATTTCTCCCTGAAGTGTCCCTGCTGTTGATTCCTACCAGGCTCCGTCTCTGTCTCAATGTGGTCCTCCATGAAAATACTTACTTCAAAATTACCATTGCCTCCATCCTGGCATTCCCCGTCTCCCGCTCCTGTTTACTCTCCTCCATAGCCCTTTTCCTTTTAATGCACTACATGGTTCACCTGCTCGATTCTCACTCTCTCTCCCCCTCCCTTAGATGCAAACTCCACGAAAGCAGAGATTCCGCATGTTTGATAAACTTCTGTATCCCCATTACCTACAGTGCTCAGCACATAGTAGGTTCACCATAATATTTGCTGAACAAAGTAATTAAATGAAAATAATATCCATACAACAGCTACTATGTTGATATTCATAGCAGCATTATTTATAATAGCCCAAAACCAAAACAATTCAATATTTGTTAGCTAGTAAACAGATAAACAAAATATGGTATATTCGTACCATTCAGCAATAAAAAAAGAACAGAATACTGATTTCTTGCTAGCATCTGGATGAACCTCAAAAACATTATGCTAAGTGAAAGAAGCCAGACACAAAAGATGACATTTTATACAATTCCATTTATATGAAATGTCTGGAAAGGGTAAATCCATAGAGGCAGAAAGCAGATTAGTGGTTGTCTGGAGCTGAGGGTAGGAACAGGAGTGACAAATGTGCATGAGGGAATTATTTGAGGTGATGGAAATGTTCTAAAATTAGATTGTGATAATGATCACACAACTCCGTATTGCTATAAATCATTAAATTGTCCACTTGTAATGGTTGAATTTCGTGATATCTAAAGTATACCTAAATAAAACTGTTTAAAAAAAACAGTTAATTTTTTTAATGTCTGAAAGTACTCTATTAATGAGGCCAAAGCTACAAGCTCAAATTCTTGGGAACCAATGAGAGTGCTCATTCTCTATTTTATTTCCTTCTCTCTTTCAATATCTAGCTGTGTATGAATCTCTAATCTAGGCCCTATAAGAGCAGACCTGGCCCCTGTCTTCCAGAAGTTTATAATCTACTGAAAATATGAAACGCACCGAGATCACTACAGTGTAAGGCAGAATGTGAAATGCCAGAATAAAGACATGCCAGTAAAGTCTATGGTATCGATGCAAAGACATCTTTGCAGGGAAAATAGGAAGGAAAGCAGGATTTGAACAGGGTTTTAAAGAATAAATAGGAGGATAATAAGTAGACAGGAGCTAAGAGATACCCACAGGCCACCTTCTTCATCCACCTTTTTTACATGTCATCAGGCATGTTGGACAAGAAAATATAGACACATCAGCCCTGGATAGTGTGGCTCAGTGGATTGGGTATCGTCTCATGCACCAAAAGGTTGCTGGTTTGTTTTCCGGTCAGGGTTACAGGCTTGATCCCTAAGAGGGTGTGCAGGAGGCAGCTAATCAATGAATCGATCTCACACCAATGTTTCTCCCTCCCTCTCCCTTCTTTTCTCTCTAAACATCAATAAAAAAAATATTAAAAAAAAAAAAAGAAAATATAGACACATCAGTGCAAAGACCCCAGTTGTACTAAACTCAGGGATGTGTTCTACCAGCAAAATACTTGATGCAAAGAAAGGTGTTTGACATAAGTTTATTGAGTAAATGAATGAAAATGTAGGATGAGTCTAGCAGCATTTCAGGTAAATTGTGGATTAGCAGGGAGATCTCTCTCTCACACACACACACACACTCAACATATGCAAGGCCACATCTTCTGTCAGGAGGAAGAGACAGAGTAAGTGCCAGATATGCCTAAACAATATCTCTGCCTCTTATTTTCCACCATCCAGAAAACCTGTTTCCCCAAAAGCCTTCCCAAGAGTTTACCTTTTATCTGGGATTTTTTTTTTTAATCCTTACCTGAGGACATTTTTGCATTTATCTGCAGATAAAGCAGGAGGGAGAAAGGGAGGAAGACAGAGAGAAACATAGATGTGAGAGAGACACACCAAGTGGTCGCCACCCACAACCCCAACTGGGCCAGGGACAAACTGCAACCGAGGTACGTGCCCTTAGCGGGAACTGAACCCAGAACTCTTTGGTCCGCGGACCAATGCTCTAAACGCTGAGCCAAACCAGCCAGGATTATCTGGGCATTTTTAATAATCGACATTAGTCCAAGTCCCATGACCATAAATCCATTAACTTCCAGGTCAATTGTGTTATCTTTATACATGAAGACAAGACATAAGCATATTATCACATATATCTTTATACTACTCTCTAGGTTCTTTATGTGTGTTTTTTCTTCTGATCTAAATAAGAGAAATGGTAGATCTAAACAGTAAGAAAGAACAATGGATTTTTTTCTTCTTTTAAATCCCTCTTATAGAGTAGAAATACAAAGTGATGTTTCATTGTGAATAGAGTGAAATGTTTAATAAGTGCTCTGTAGATGAAAAGATAAAAGGATGGATAGATGGATGTGAACGGTTGAACAAATAACAAAATCAAAGAATGAATCTATGCTTAGTGATACTCTAAAGCCTTTTCTGTATATTTTATCTCAATCACAGAATAAGAAGCAAGCATTAGCATTCGAGGAGTCACAGATGGCCTTTGTGACCAGTAAACAGTGCCATCTGAGGCAACTCCAACAACTCAAGAAAAAATTGCTGGCCCTTCAACAAGAACTGGAGTTTCGCACAGAGGAGTTACAGACTTCTTACTGTTCCCTCCTGCAGTATCAGTCTGTCCTGGAGAAGCAGACTTCCGATCTGGTTCTTCTTCACCATCACTGCAAAATGAAAGAAGATGAGGTATGGATAGAATTACTATGGAAATGTCTTATATGCCCATGCACCTGCAGAACTCAGGCCAGACTACTAGAAAGCAAATATTGGACTTTCAGAGGAGAGCTTCGCAACATCTTGAGGGGGTTTTATCAACTTTCTCTCTTTAATTCTTGATCTTTTTGAAGCTGAGCAGAGGGAACTAAACAAAAAAAATGGCATAATTAGGTGAGAGCTCCAGTATTAATACATGTGGGATATGTGGTGTGTGTGTGTGCACAGGTGTGCGTGTGATGTGTATGAAGGTCCATTGTTTCCATTTTATTACCATTGCAGTTCAAATGCAAAAGACTCTAAGTCACTGAAAGTTATATAAAAGGCATAAGGTCCATTAAATGAACCATTTTTAGAAAAATCAAGTTTTGATAATATATAAATTCCTGGCACTGGCACAGTTGATAAGACAACCAGACAGTGAATCTGAATCTATCATTAAGAATACCAGATCAGGGGACTTCCGGTCAAGATGGCGGCATAGGTAAACGCGGTATCGCGTCCTCCCACAACCACATCAAAGTTACAACTAAACTACAGAACAACCATCATTCAAAACTGCCTGAAATCGAGCTGAATGGAAGTCCTACAACTACGAAATTAAAGCAGCAGCCACATCCAGACTGGTAGGAGGGGCGGCAGCGGAGGGGCTGGTCCCACACCCAAGTGTGGCGGATAAAAATCAGGAGGCTCCCGAGGCTGGGAAGGTCCTTCCTGAGGACTGAGGGGTCCCCGTCCCACACCAGGTGCCCCGCTCAGGGTTCCAGTGCCAGGAAGAGAAGTCCCCATAACTTCTGGCTGGAAAAACCAGCGGGAACTGAGGCTCAGGGAAGCTGAAGTGGCTGGAGCCCCAGGCAGCTCCTTAAAGGGCCCGCGCACGGACTTATCGGACTCTCTCCCTCTAAGCTCGGAGGGGAGGCAGCTCCAGGGGCGCCAGAGACATACAGGGAAGAACTGAGCTGTTTGGCACTGGAGTGAGGGCTGGAGAGGGGGCTTTCTCGGGGACAAAACTGCTGTCAGAGTCCTTTGTTCCTTTGGTGAGCCCTTCCCGGGGGCGGCAGACAGTTGCCATATCTGACACTCCAGCAACGTGGCTCACACTGGTAGCCCCGCCCTGGTGACTTCCTGAGGCCCCGCCCCACCCCACCCCACCCAACTTTCAAGCCCACCCAAGCTGTTGCCACTTGCTTAACCATAGGATTGGCCAGTCTTGGATCCTGCTTCAGGTTTTTCCTAAATTCTTCCAAACTAGCAGCATCTGGTCTCAGCGAGCCCCATACCTCTCGTTAAGTAATACACTGAAACAAACACAGGGAGGCAGCCAAAATGAGGAGACAAAGAAACAGGTCTCAAATGAAAGAACAGAACAAAACCCCAATAAAAGAACTAAGCGAGCCCTGGCCAGTTTGGCTCAGCGGTTAGAGCGTCAGCCTGCGGTCCGGAGAGACCCGGGTTCGGTTCCCGCTAAGGGCACGTACCTCGGTTGCAGTTTGTCCCCGGCCCTGGTTGGTCGTGCGGGTGGCAGCCACTCGATGTGTCCCTTCACGTCGATGTTTCTCTCTCTCTCTCCCTTCCTCTCTCTCCCTCCCACTCTATCTGTACAAAAAATGGAAAAATATCCTCGGGTGAGGATAAAAAAAAAAATAAAAAAAAAAATAAAAAAAAAAAAGAACTAAGCGAAATGGAGATAAGCAACCTAACAGATACTGAGTTCAAAATACTGCTTATAAGGATGCTCAGTGAACTTAGTGAGAACCTCAGTGAACTTAGGGAGGGCCTCAAGAGCATAAAAAAGGACCAGTTAGAAATCATGGATACACAGTTAGAATTGAAGGAGGCATTAACTGAAATAAAGAATAATTTACACAGCTTCAATAATAGAGTACGTAAATCCAAGAAGCAAACCATCGATTTGGAATATAAGGAAGCAAAAAAACGCCCAATCAGAACAGCAAAAAGAAAAAAGAATCCAAAAAAATGAGGATAGTGTAAGGAGCCTCTGGGACAACTTCAAGCGTGCCAACATTCGCATCTTGGGGGTGCCGGAAGGAGAAGAGAGAGAACAAGAAATCGAAAACCTGTTTGAAACAATAATGGCAGAAAACTTTCCTAACTTGGTGAAGGAAACAGACATACAAGTCCAGGAAGCACAGAGAGTCCCAAACAAGATGAACCCCAAGAAGCCCACACCAAGACACATCATCATCAAAATGCAAAAGATTCAAGACAAAGAGAGAATCTTTTTTTTTTTTTTTATCCTCACCCGAGGACATTTTTCCAACTTTTGTACAGATACAGTGGGAGGGAGAGAGAGGAAGGGAGAGAGAGAGAAACATCGACGTGAAAGGGACACATCGAGTGGCTGCCACCCGCACGACCAACCAGGGCCGGGGACAAACTGCAACCAAAGTATGTGCCCTTAGCGGGAACCGAACCCGGGTCTCTCCGGACCGCAGGCCAACGCTCTAACCGCTGAGCCAAACCGGCCAGGGCCAAAGAGAGAATCTTAAAAGCATCAAGAGAAAGGCAGCTAGTTACCTACAAGGGAGTTCCCATAAGGCAGTCAGCTGATTTCTCAAAAGAAACTTTGCAGGCCAGAAGGGAGTGGCAAGAAATATTCAGAGTGATGGAAAGCAAGAACCTACAACCAAGATAACTCTATCCTGCAAAGCTGTCATTTAGAATCGATGGACATATAAAAACTTTCCCAAACAAGAAAAAGTTAAAGGAGTTCATCACTACCAAACCGTTATTATATGAAATGATGAAGGGTCTTTTTGAAGAAAAAGATAAAATGTATGAACAAACAAAATGGCAATGAATACATAGCTATCAACAATGGAATCTACAAACAAAATGAACAGGTAGAACAGAAACATTCTCATAGATACAGAGAATATTTTGTTGGTTGCCAGTTGGGAGGTGGGTTGGAGGAATGGGTGAAAAAGGTGAAGGGATTAAGAAGTACAAATTCATTGCTAGACTGACAAACCTCAAAGGGAAAGGGGTTGGGGGGTGGGAAGAAATAAACCAAAGAACTTATATGCATAACCAATGGACACAGACAATAGTGTGGGAAAAGGTGGGAGGGGGGGCGGGAGGGGGGAGGAGGGCGTCAATGGGGGAAAAATGTGGGACATCTGTAATACATTTTACATCCAACAATAAAGATTTAAAAAATAATAATAAAAATGAAAATGAAAAAAAATATAAAGAATACCAGATCAGTCAGTTTTTTAGACTGGAGTTTGAGACCATCTAGACGTAGTTTAATTATATTCTGGATGTTCATTTCTATTCATGTCCCAGATTGTATTTTTTAAAGCAGAGAGAGAATCTTTGTGGAATCCCAAGTAAATTACAAAGATCAAAGCTGTAGATCCTAAGCTTGGGTAGCACTGGCTACGGTAGAACCTGCAGCAGTAAAACCATGAGTTTTAAGTGATGGGACAGACAGCCTCCCCTGGCATTTCTTCCTTTGCCTTTAGAGATAAAATTCCAAGGACTGTCTTGGATAATGCTGTTACTCTGTGTGTGTGTGTGTGTGTGTGTGTGTGTGTGTGTGTGTGTGTGTGTGTTGTTGCTTATGAACTAACTCCAGGAGCTTTATGAGAAGCCTGAAAAAACATAGAATGTTTAAAAAGGGAATATTATGGCTAATCAGAATTTGTTAAAAGGGGTTGGGTGGGAAAGGAGCAGATTACCCTACAAAATATAATCTAGGACAAAGCTGGTGAGCATGAATCATGGTTTAATAAAGCTAACTCGGGACTGTTGTTAAAACTCACTATAATTTAAACAGAAGTCCAGCCTGGATAAAGTGACCCTGAATTATTTGGTTGTGTATAACAGAAAACCTCCAAGTAATGGTGCTGAAATAAGATAGTTTATTTCTATGATATAAGAGAAGACCTAGGGATGTTGTGGTAACTGCAAGTGTCACCGGGTCCCTAGGGTCCTATCTTTTAGCTCCACCATCATCAGCTAAAGGCTTCCATTTTCCAGGTGGCTGCTGAAGCTCCAGTCATCACATCCTTGATCCAAATAATCAGGATGAGGTTGTGGAGAGAAAGGCACACTCCTCCCTTTTAAGGACACTTCAAAAGCCCCACACAGTTTCATTTATATGTCAGTGGCCAGAGTTAGTCACATGGCTACAGCCAGGGAGCCTGGGAAGTGTGCTGTTTTAGTGAGGTGCACTGCTGTCCCAAAGTCAAGGTTCTATTACTAATGAGGAGGGAAAGAATTGATTCGGCAAGTAGCAGTAGCAGTCACTGATTCCGATCCCAAACCAGGAAAGCATTAGAAAAATTACTTCAGGCATTGTGCCAAATTCCCTCAATACTTTATTATACAGAAGCATCAAGCTTCTGTCTAAGGTTGGGTTTCCCAGTAGCAGACCTTAAGATAAGGAGATGAATATAAGTAGTTAATTCAGGAGGTGATCCTAGGAAGCATGGGGAGAGTGTAGGGAAGTAAGTCAAAGAAGGGCAGGAAGCCCATAAAGAAAAACTATTAAGATCGCTGTTGTAGACAACTGGTGTTCAGTCCCTGGAGAATTCTGGGAGATGGGGTAGAAGATGCCGCAGTCATTGGTTGAGGACTGCGCTGAGAGTGTTCACTCCCCAGTACTTGTAATCTGCCTTATCTTGCTCCTCTGCTTGCATGGGCTCCTGGGACCAGAACATCTCTTAAACAAAGAGCTGAAGATTCTAGAGGTTGAAATGAATCTAGCATGCAAAGGACTGGTGAGTGCCAAGGGAGATGAGCCCGCCACTGACAGCTTCTGTTATAAACATTTGAATATAAAATATTCCTTTCCTCTTTCTCCTTACCTAATGAACACCTCACACTAAATGACCCTTTCCTAAGAAGAATCTGAAAAGGCAGGCAGCAAGTATAATTAGCTTAGACTAATATAGTATGTTCTATTTGAATTCTACAGTGAACTACTTGAACCAAAGTTAAGCCTTCCTTGATGACTCTTCTGCTCTTAACTCCTTCCATAAGTGGAACTTGAGCCGTACAATTTAGCACTCTCCACTATGTAGTTGTTTGCTCATTTTAAGTCATCTCTCCCCAAAATTGTCAGTTTATAGACTCTGAATGAGGACACTATGTTGTACAGGTATGTATCCCCTCAGTACCCAAGACATTGTTCATGAGCCGTCAATAAATATGTCAGTTGGTTGGCTAATTAATTAATTAGGAAGAAAAGAAATCTAAATAAGGATTGTACAAATCCCAGAGGAACCTCGGGTCATGTTCCCTCACTATCTCTAGGGAACTTTGCTGACATGGACTTGCATGCACAAAGTGCTCTACATTTTCTAAATTAGACCTCTAGAGAATATCTAGGAAAGAAAGAATACTAGCGTTTCAAGACCTTTGAAAAATGGGGCTATACAAATTGCTTCCTATTAATCAACTAACAAGTCTTTATGGAGTTCTTACTACATGCCAGGCAAAATGGGAAATAAATATGGTCCCTGTCTTTAAGAAGCTTACCATCTAAATAGGACAACCTTTTTTATTTCTAATCATTAGCATTCTGATGTTATATATTGTAGCTTTTAGATCTGTACTGGGCCTGTTTTGTGTATCTGTGTTTCTTAAGATGAGTTACAATATAAGACTCCTCTGCGTGGTCTTATAACCATATTTTTTCCACCATTAGATGCTTCTATGGGTTCAGTGTGGTTTCATTCCTATACCAACAGGTGATTCTCTATGAGGAGGAAATTGGAACTCATAATGGGAACACAGGGGAGAAGCTCCATTTGGCACAGGAGAAACTCGCCTTGGCTGGGGACAAGATCGTCTCCCTAGAAAGAAGTTTAAACCTCTACAGGGATAAATACCAGACTTCCCTAAGCAACATTGAGCTACTGGAGTGTCAAGTGAAGATGCTGGAGGGGGAGCTCAACGGGATTGTCAGTCAGGTAGGACTTAAACTAAGACTCTCAAACCAGGAGCTCCAGCAAGCGGACAAGCTCCCAGGTGGTCCCCTGTAACAGTCCCAGCCTCCTCCACCAGAAACCCAGACCTTCAACCAGATGTCAGACCTTCCCTTGAATTGTGTAGCCCTCAGCTTTGAACGTCCAGCCTTCACATCCCCTTTAAGACTGTTACTTAGGAATTTTGAGGCCCTTAATCAATATAAAAAGGCACCACTTCAAATAAGGCAGAAAGTGGATTACCAAATGAGTTCTGAAATCTGCCATGTTCTCATGAGGGTCTGGTGAAGGGCTCTTCTAGGTCACAGGACTCGTGCAAATCATGACTTTGAGATCAAGCAGGAGAAGAAATCCACACAACATGGGGAAGTAGAGCCACAATACCTGAATTTGTATTTATTTTTCTGTTGCTTTTTTAATTAGACAAGTAACACAACGATGTAAGCTCTCTAGACAGAAATATGGAAATTAAATGTGAAAGTTCACCTTCAGCCTCCTCCACCCCTCTCTCCCCCTAGGCAATCACTTGAAAAATGTGTTGGAAATCTTCCCCAGCCTTTTGCTATACAGTTACATATATAAATCCTTACGATTTTCTTTTTACATAAATGGGTCATTTTATAAATGTGACTCTACAACTTGCTTTTTAAATGTATCTTAATTTCTTTTAATTACTACTTTGTATTCTGTAGTATGACTATACTATCTATTGACCTGTTTTCTGTTACAAATAAACTATAAGGAACATCCTCATTTCTGTGGGGTAATTTCCTGAAGTAGGATTGCCGGACCAAAGGATATACTTATTTTTAATGTTTAAAGATACTTATAAATTGCATACCAAAAAGGTTCTACCAGTTTTACCAATAATAATTGAGGGAGTTTATTTCCCCATACTCTGTATATTTTTTTTAATGTTTTTAAGTTGTGCTAAACTGATGGATGGGGGGGAAAAAAAAGGTTTTCTCATTACAATTTTTATTTCCTTTCATTCTAATTGTTGTGGATTAACTTCTCCAGAAAGCAGACTCTGAGACAGATTAGCATGCAGGAAATTTTTAGAGAAAGGTTACCAACACCTGTGAAATAAAGTGAACAAAAGCAGTGTTGGGCAGAGGGAAAAGATGAGCTATGATGCAGTCCCAACAAAGCCTCCACCAACTCCATGGGAAGTTCTGGGGCTAGATAGATCTTCAGAGTGGTCCTAAATTGGGGAGAAGGGAGCTAGCCTTTTTACCTCCATGTTGATCAGTTATTGGATGTGAGCTGTCCTAGAGAGAGGCATGACCTTGGGAAAACGTTTTCTTCTGCACAGGTGATCCCCAAGTAGGGCTGACAGCTGAAGGCTGTCTTAGGGCAGCAGCCCAGGAGCTAAAGGAGTAACTCCTTCATTGCTGAACAATTTGCAAGCTACATCACAGTGGCCACCACACTATGAAGTACCGAGCACTGTTCATGTAGATTTCTGTTTTATAAATTACTTGTTTAAATCCTTAACCTGTTTTTATTGGGTTGTTAGTCCTCTTTTTTTTATTATTGATTTATAGGAACTTCTTAATATATTATAGGTAATGATGCTTTATTACATGTATTAAAAATATTTTCTCCCAGTTAGTAGCTTTTCATTTTATTAATGGTATTTTTCACCACACAGACATTTTAATTTTTATGGTATTGAAACTCTCAATCCTCCTTTATAGATTCAAGGTTTTATGTCTTACTTTAGGAAGGTCTTCTCTACCTCCAAGTTTACAAAAGATTGTCTTATATTTTCTTTTAGCACTTTTATAACTTCGTATTTTTATGGTTTTATCTTTAGTCCACATGGAAAACTTATTTATTTATATTTTATGTGTACATAATGAGATAAGGCTATAATTTTATGTTTATCAAAATGGATCTCGTTGTCCTAACTCTACTTATTAAACAGCCCACCCTTTTTCTACTGATTTGAAGTGCCAACTCAATATATGCACCAGGTCTTCTATACCCATGACTCTTTCTAGACACTATATATATTTTTTTTATCTCTTGCCAGTTCCTACACTGGGTAAAAGTTATTTAGTGACAAAAAATGATGTTATGTTTTGATAGCTGCTTTTAGGGCAGGTCCTCCTTCTCTGTTTTTTACTTTCAAATATTTCTTGGCCATTTTTGTACATCTTTTCTTTGTAAAATCTAGATTTATGTTGACTTCATTTCAAATTATATATTAATTTGGGGAAAATAAGCATAATCTATAGAACATGATATGCTTCTACTTATATTCAAGTTTTCTTGTGTGTCCTTCAGAAAGATTTTACACTTTTATTTATGTAGCTCACATATTTCTTACTAAGTTTATTTCTAGATATATTATAGTTTTATTGGTTTTATGAATGAGATCTTTTATATACTTAATTTAATTATTACTGATATAGAGGAAAACTCTTATCCTCCCACCTTATTGAGTGCTACTTATCAGATTTTTCAGTTGACTGACTCGGATTTTCCCAAATTGCTTTTCTTTTCAACATTTGTACAACATATTTGTCATCTTACTTTACTGACCAGCACCTCCAGAACAGTATAAAGTTGTAGCATCCTTGATTTGCTCCTTATTTTAAATTAAATATTTCTACTTTTTCACCATTAAATATAATGTCTGTGCTTGGCTGCTTGTTAATATTCTTTTTCAAGTTGAAGGTGTGACTGTCTATACAAGAATTTTTATCAGGAATGAATGTTGAATTTAATCAGAAGTTTTTGTTAGCATCTATCAAGGTAATCATAGTTTTTTCCTTTAAGGAAGGGGATTACACTAATAGATTTTCATTTATAGAACAATCTTTATGTTTCTGGAATAAATCCTACTTGATTATGACATATTATTATTTTCATAATAATATACCATTATATTATAATCAAACACTCTACTAAATTTGTTAAAATTTTATTTTTTGCATTTATTTTCAGAAACAAGATTAGTTTGATGGTTTAAATTTTTGTGTTCTCATCTCATTGGAGTCTGGATTATGCTACCCTACTATGAATGAGTTGGAAAGCTTTTCTTTTTTAAATCTCTGGAACTGTTTATATAACATATAAAATGTATATTTGTTTGAGATGACCAATAAAACCAACTTTTACTCATCACTCAGCAGTATATTCCACCTCTTCTGCATTTTTGTACTTTTCCTTGTATTGTAATAATTCCTGTGAATTCTTTCAGAAAGAATTGTGGGTGGTAAAAATTCTCAATATTTCCATGTCTGAGTAAGATTTATTTTGCCATCGTTCTTGAATGCTAGTTTGGCTGGGAATAAAAACTTTCAAAAGCACCTGACTTTGTTTTTTTCAGTGTGTAATTTTTTATTTGCAGTTCAATAAAGGGATAGGATTGCCCTGACTGGTTTGACTCAGCAGTTAGAGCATTGGCCTGCAGTCCAGAGAGACCTGGGTTCAGTTCCCACTAAGGGCTCGTACCTCGGTTGCAGTTTGTCCCCAGTCCTGGTTGGGTTGTGTGGGTGGCAGCCACTCGATGTGTCCCTTTCACGTCGATCTCTCTCTCTCTCTCTCTCTCTCTCTCTTCCTCTCTCTTCCTCCCACTCTGTCTGAACAAAAAATGGAAAAATGTCCTCAGGTGAGGATAAAAAAATAAAATAATTAATTAAATAAAATAATAAAAATAAAGGGATAGGATTAAAAGAAGAAAATTCAAAAAGTTAGCATTGTATTTTAGCATCTGCTTTGAAACTTTGAAGCTTTACTGCATTGTCTTATACCATGCAGTGTTAAAAATGAATTTGTAGATCTCAATCTGTTTGTCAATTTTTGTAAGTTACCTGTTTTATCTTTGAACTCTGGAGGACTTTAGGCCCAGGGCTTTTTAATTTATTTTTCATTAAGCCTCTGAACACTTAACTGATCCCTTGAATTTGAAGATGTACATTTCAAAATGTGCATTTGAATGTGTATGTTTTTCTACATCTCAAGAAATTTTGCTTCGGTCATTTTAAATTAATTTCTATTTTTAATTATATAGTATTAAGGAAATATTGGAGCCTATAGATAGCTTCTTCCTGTTTCTTAACTTTTCTATTGATTCCTTTGCCAACTTATACACTAAATTATAAAAACGTTATTCATGGTCAATTTTTTACTTCTAACTAACCCTCCTACAGCTTGCTCAAGGGCAGCTTTCATGCTCAGTGAACATGAACTATTTCTAACATTGCCTAAAAAAGCCCAGTTAGGGCAATAAGTTTATGGGGAAATGATATACCATGTGAACTAGAACTCTGCTCTTTTTTAAAATTATTTGCCTCATTTCATCCTATTATTAGTACAGACCAATGAGCACGAAGTGTCCTTCATGTATGATTTCAGATGATGTAAGAAAATACGTTTTAAAAATGATTCTAGGAAAACAGGCATACTCATATTGATGAGAATATCAATCAATACAATTTCTTTGAAGAGCAAGTGTTTAATATCTATCAAAGTGTTAAATATGTCCTAGCAGTCCCACTTCTATGAATTTCATCTGCACATGTACCAGGAAAGGTACTCAAAGACTTATAGGCAAAAGTAGTCAGATTCGTTTTAGGAAAATAACTTGAAAACAACCTATATTCTCATCAGTAGGAGACTGGATAAACACATTTAAAAGGAATTTAAAAGAACAAAATAAAGGCACATGAAATAACACGATAAATTTCAAGACATCTTGTTAAGTGAAAAAATATATATTTTTATGTTTTAAAAAGACAACATAATATCTGCATTCTACAGGCTCTTATATGTTTGTAAATCTATAGATAAAGGTCTAGAAAGCTATGCACCAATGGCCGTCTCTGGAGAAGGCAGTGAGTATGGGGTTAGAGGAGGTGGGCAGTGATCAAAGAAAAATTGTAATGTTACAATGTTTTAGAAAGATAGTCTATACATGTATTACTTGGCAATTTGAAATTAATTTTAAAAGTAGATCTACAAGTAACAAAATGGAAAATACCCTACATAAATTGTCAAGTGAAAACACAATTTACAATAGTGTGTAGAAGACTTTCATTTGTGTAGGCATAAAATTAAGGGATTATATATATATACATACATGCATAAAAATTTCTGAAAAGATACCCAAAACACTGGTATCAGGGACTGTGATGGAGGAGGACCTAAGTCCTAGAAGGTCAACATGGAGTAAGACTGACTTTTCAGTGTATTCTCTCCTGAATGGTTTGAACTTTATACCATGTTTATACACTTGTTAATTTTTCTTTTGTTAAAAAAAGTTATGATTCACATATATGAACATAAACCTTTAGAATATAGGTCTAGAGATTTTTTTCATGCTCACAGCATTCTTACCTCAAAAATTATGAACAAAACCACCCATTATTTTTAAATACCTCAGGAACCCGAGAACAAGGGTGATCATTCAAAGGTGCGTGTATACACGTCTCCCTGCATGATTCAAGAGCATCAGGAGACCCTGAAACGACTGTCTGAAGTCTGGCAAAAGGTGTCTGAACAGGATGATCTAATCCAGGAACTTCGAAATAAGCTAGCCTGCAGTAATGCTTTGGTAAGTACCTTCTTTTAGAACACTTTTCTGAGACCCAAAATAAAGCCATGACGAAAGAAGGGATAGAGAGTCACCTAAAGTAATCTCTCTCACCAAGACCCCTCAAATGTCTTAAATAAACTTGTCTCCACCTTTTCTTCATGTTCTCCACAGTATGCATTCTCCCAACCCACATTAAGTTGATTGTCAAGAGACATAAAATCTTTCACACAGCAACCTAACTGCCTGTCAATAGGAAAATAATTAAAGAGACTGAGAAATTGTTAAAGAGATATCCATATTATGAAATAACACATAGCCAAGAAAATGGATTAAGCAGATCTATAAGGACGACATGAAAGAATGCTTGTAATATATTGTTGAGAATAAATTGCAGAATCTTATGTATAGTTCCACTTTTGTTTTACAATGTCTTTGATTGTGATATAGAAATATATACTGGAAATTGCTAATAATGCCCCTTCCCCCTTAGGGGAAATGAAGAGGGAAAAATAAATGGAGAGGAAATTTTCACTTATTATCAATGCTTGGGTTCTGTTTGAATTATTCCCAACAAGCAAGTACAAAAATGGTATGTTTTTTTTTTTTTTAAAAGAAGGTACATACACATTTACCCATTCCATAAAAAAAAACTTCCTTCTTTAATTCTTGAACTTCGAACCTCATCTTCTGATAGATTAAGTGCATCTTTCCTAATTTCACTACATCCAAAGAACCTTCATCTGCCTAACAAACTGGACCACACAGAGGTTCAGCAGGGAGTCCAAAATGTGTCCACTGACAAACTCAAGACAAATCACTGTCTATGCCTTGATGAACCTTGATGTAAGATTGAGAACATAATTCCTTCCCCATACCAACCCCACAGGAAGTGCATGATGAATTATATAAAGTTACAACAAACAGGCTGGTAAAAGGAACATCCCGCTAAAGGAGTAGTAGTAATAAACACCATACATCATCATGCAGCATAACTGACCTGCGCTCATTTGCAGGTTCTAGAGCGTGAAGAGGCTTTGATAAAATTACAAGCAGACTTTGCTTCTTATACCGCCACCCACCGACATCCTCCTAGCTCCTCAGAAGATTGTGAAGACATCAAAAAGGTGGGAGAACTTTTGCTTATTTGTGTCTGGTGGATCCTGCCAATATGGGTTTGGTTCTGGGTTTTCCTGCTTATTTTTAATTTTTATGTTATATTGGATTTTATATTTTATGTTATATTTGTGTGACCTTGGTTGGCCCTGCCATATGGATACTGCCACATCCAGCAAGTGTGTCTGCCAGCATTAGATTTTGGAATTGAATTTTGGAAGGGCACCTGTCTCTTAACACACTTCCAACAGTACACCCTAACGAGAGAGAGACTCCTGTTGGCTTGCTAGATTCAGAAGGACCATGGCAGCCTTCTGGTTTCTGGTTGGAGTTGAAAAGTAACAAATTTAGTGAGGATCATTAATTCAAATTCACTCCCTTTTTGAAAACTTGATGTTTTCAATATTCAAAGGCATCTCAAAAGTCGATTCTCATAATAAATAAGAATTTAAACCATGTAAACAAATAGCAAGATTTGACCAATAGTAAAAACTGGCTTAGGTCCCCTCCTAGGTGATCATGCCTGACCTTGAGGTGCAAGGCAAGGACGGCCGCTTGAGGCCATGCTGTGAGCACGCGAGGCCGGCTGCTGATGCTGAGACGGGAGGGGGGCAGAGAGCGTCAGCGACGCCTGGAAGCTCTCCAAGGGGTCCTCCAGTGGGGGGCAGAAACTCTTCTCTTTTCAGGACTTTCTGATCCCAGAAAGTTTGAATGAATGAATGAATGAATGAATGAGGAATCAAAATTGAACTTTGGAGTTTCTTCCTTGGACATCTGTCAATATTTATTTTAAAGGTCAGTTCCATGTTATTCACATCCTGACCTATAGCAAGATCTCATCACATTCCTTTTTTTATTTTTGTCTGAAAAATGTCTTTATTTCTCCCTTACTCTTTCATTTTTTTATAGTGATAATAAACACATGGCATTAAATTCACTATCTTAACTACTTCTGAGTGTACAGTTCACCCATGTAAATAAAGTATATTAACATTGGTGTGCAGCAAATCTCTAGAAGTTTTTCATCTTGCAAAACTGAAACTCCACATCCACTAAACATTAATTCCTCTTTTACCACTCCATTTTATTTATTTATTTATTTATTTTTATTGATTGATTTTAGAAAAAGAGGAAGGGAGTGGGAGAGAGAAATAGGAATGTCCCGACCGGGAATCAAACCAGTGACTTCTTGGTGCATGGGTCAACGCTCAACCACTGAGCCACACCGGCCGGGCTTAACACTTCATTTTGAAAAATGATACAGACTTCCCCAGGAAACAGAATATACCTTCCCCCACCATTTTATATGTTCTTTCCAGAGCCGTGCTACCTCGATGTGCTATTAGGAAGTGAACCATCCACATCTCAGCTAATGCCGACAGTCCTCTCCCTGCTCTGCCACTGGGCAGAGGCTGGGTCTTTGAGTCCCTGCAGTGCCCACCTGAATCATATGGTGACTGCCCTGTATTTCTCCCGCTGTCCCCAGTCTTCATGCTGCAGGCCTCCCTCACCATCAACTCTGAAGTCACATGACTCTCTCATCCCAGCCTCCTTTGATGCCCAGACATCTCATTGCTCCTCCTGGGCCATGTGCACAGGTCCCTGCCTTCTCTGGGTTACAGTCCATCCCCCTCTCCTTCAGGCTGGAAGCCAAAGTCCTTGCCAAGGGACCACAAGCCCCACATGAGGTGACTGCCCCCTAACTTCCTCACATCCTGCTACTTTCCCCATCGCTCACCCCCACGGTAACCATGTTCCCTTTCCAGGGTCTTGTCACTGGCTCCAAAGCTCTCCCCTCAGATACCTACAACGCGGCTCACACCCTCACCTGCAGCAAGTCCCTGCACAGAGACCACCTTCTCAGTGAGGCCAACCAAGCCGTCCTATTTAATATTGCCCCACATACCTGTCCCGGCTCCATCACCTCCACGCCCCTGTGGTTGTTCTGCTTCTTCCATAGCATTTCTCCATTTCTAACTTTTTCTATAAGTCACTACTAAGTATGCTCTCTGTCTGTCCCACCCCACCAGACGGTCAGCTCCCTGGGGCGAGGGTTGTGTTTGCTGTTTGCAGCTCTCAGGACAGTGCCTGGCACACAGTCGCTGCTCCGGCAGTGACACTGCTTCCTGCTTCTTTTCTGATAGTCAATGTAAGTGTGAGAAGTCTGCCATGTCCCATTTTTAAAATTCTATTTTTTTAAATTGATATGTAATTGACAGACCATAAAATTCATCATTTAAAGTGTACAATCAGTGTATATTCAGAGTTGGGCAACATCACCACTAATTCCAGAACATTTTCATCACCCCAAAGAGAAACCTATATCCATGAGGAGTCACTCCCCATCACCCACTGCCCCCAGCCCCTGGCGACCACCACTCTGCTCTCTATCCTATGGAGCCGCCTGTTTGGACACTCAGGATTTCAGATAGCATTCTCCCCCCACGTTCTCACCCTGCCCTGCTCGTTCCTGTCTTCCCAGATACTGAAGCACTTGCAGGAGCAGAAAGACAGCCAGTGCCTGCACGTGGAGGAGTACCAGAACCTCGTGAAGGACTTGCGCATGGAGCTAGAGGCTGTGTCAGAACAAAAGAAAAACATCATGAAGGGTAGACCTGGGCTGGGGCCGGGTGGGGGTGGGGCAGAAGGAAGGCGGAACCTGCCTCTGAGCAAGAAGCACTCTGTCTCGTCCCACCGCAGAAATGATGAAGTTGGAGCTGGACCTGCACGGGCTGCGAGAGGAGGCCTCTGCCCATGTGGAGAGGAAGGATAAGGAGCTCATCATCCTGCAGCATCGGCTGCAGGAGCTGCAGGCGCAGTTCACCGAAGACCAACAGCTTGGCTTGAAGAAAGACACTGTAAGGCGAGGAGCTCTCTAGGGCGGGTGTGAGGCCAGGCCTTGGCCAGGTAGAGCGGGTCCGGCAGTTCTGCACCCACTGTGATAGCTTGGGGAGCGCCAACATGTGTGCAGTGGGACTGTGGGTTCTTCAGGCCCAGAGACGATTCTGAGAACTTCTTTGGTACTTCTCATAGCACATAATAAAGCAATAAAATAGCGCTATCCGGGGGCCTTAATAGAGATGTTGACTATAAGGAAGAGGTTTTTCCCCAGCCCTGCACAGTTGAGAGTTGTGGACACACTTGCATTGTTCCCTTATGCTTTTGTTCATGCTTGATAGTGGAAAGAAATATTATAAAATAATGTGTAGCCTTATTAAGAATAAGAAGTGAATTTCAATTTTTAAAATGACAAATACCTTAGAATATGTAAATCAGGCTGTTTACACCCTAGAAGATCTGTGGTTGCCAACATAAATCAAGGTCCTGAAATGAAACCAAGGACAGAAAGGTTGTGAAACTAATGCAAGCTTTTGTAGTCAGTACTATCCAACTGTAACTCTTATCAGAGCCAGTAGAAATAATCCAGTGGTTGACTGACTGGTCATTCACACCCGTTTCAAGGTACAGAGGTGATCCCTCGGTCCAAATGGAGGTTTTTGGAGAGATGACAAGAAGCAAAGCATCTGTCATTCATATATTCATCCAACAAATACTTTTAAGCTCCTAAGATATGCCAAGCACTGTTCCAGGCACAAAGAATATTATAGAATTGTATATCTGAAATCTATAAAATTTTAGTAATCAATGTCACTACAATAAATTTAGTTTAAAAAAAAAAGAATACCAGAGACGTGGAAGTAGGGCACAAACTGACAATCCCCAGAAGAGGGGGTGGTGGGGGAGAGATGAACCACAGAACTTGTATGCATGTGAGCATGAACAATGAACATGGACAAGGCTGGCACAGGGCAGGGAGAGAGAGGGAGGGGGAATCAGTGGGGGGAGGAGAAACATCTGTAACAAAAATGAATAAATAAAAAAAAAGAATATAATAAAATATGCAACATTCCTACTCTCATGGAGCTTACATTCTAGTGTACAGAGGCAGGCAGTAAACAAATAACAAAAGAAATATGTCAGATACTGATAAATTCCTAAAATAGCTTGGTGGCTGTTTTACACAGGGTGGCCAGGGAAGGCTTCTATGACAAGGTAACATTTGGGAAGAAACTTGAATGGAATGAGGCAGCCACCCAGGCGAAGGTCTTGAGGAAGACTATTCCAGGCAGAGGGAACAGCAAAAGCCCTCAAGTGGAAATCCCCTTGCAGTGTCCCGGGACCAGCTGAAGCAGGCGGGTGGGGTGGCAAGAGGGGAGGTCGACCTGGCAGCCAAGGACCAGATCGCGAGCATCCTGGGGGGCCCTTTTGCTAAGTGAGCTGGCGCCACGGAGGGTTTTGAGCAGAGGAATATGAGATCTGGCTGCTGCAGGGAGAACGGGCTGAGGGGAGAGCAGGGGGCTAAGGTAGGAGGCTATTGCAATATCCAGGCAACAGAAGGTGATGGCTGCACAAGGACTCAGAACAGTCTCCAGCTGACTTTGCCCTGCCGCTGTTCAGGCCTTTATCAGCTACATTCTCATTCTGCTTTACCAGCTCCTCCAAGAGAAAGATGAAATGCTGCAGGAGCTGGAAAAGGAACTGACACAGGTTCAGACAACCCTCCTGAAAAAAGAGATGGAGTTGGAGAAGCAGCAACTAATGATAACAGAACTCGAAATCGCCCTCCAGGAGGTAAAGCAGGATAAGTGCAAGGTGGAGTGTGGGGCCCTGCGAGCTGAGATCCAGACGCTGAAGGACTTTCTCGAAGATGCCCAACAGCAGCAGAGGCTGGCTGGTGAGGCCCCAGCAGGCACTGTCCCCACCATACTTCCAACACGGGGGGCCAGAGCAACCCCTTTCTCTCTCTAAATGCCCCCTCTGCCTCCCCACTTTCTCACGTCACATCTCCCCTGGCTTTCATCTCACATCTCAGCAGTTACGACCACCCTCTTGAACCCCTTCACTCACCCCGGCCACACTTCTCTCTGGAACCATCACCACATAGCAGGTGCCCGCTGTTCCCTCCGCGGTTCAGATAAAGATCTTCTCCTTGCTCTGCCACGGGAGGACGGGTCTCTAGACTTTGCTTCTTTGCACCGCATTCTCTCCATCTTCGCCCGAACCTTTGTCACACAATTCATCTCCTCCTTCCCTGGTCTTTGACACTCTCTCCTTTTCTCGCCTCCACAAATTCTCTTCAGCCCAGTTTGCACTATGGATCGTGTCCTTGTTCCTCTGCTAACACTGCTTCCTCCGAGGTCACCAATGACGTCTTGCCTTGGACATGGGCTTATTATGGGGCAATGAAAATGTTCTGGAATTAGATATTGGTGATGGTTGCTCACCTTTGTGGGTATGCCAGAAACCACTGAACTGAACGCTTTAAAAGGGTAAATTTTATGTTATGCACTATAGAAATTTGGGGGGGAAAGTAAAAGGTCCAAAGCCTGGCTTCCTTCCTCTCCCTCCTTTGACTCTCTGTGTCCATCCATCGGCCCCCATACCTCAACAAGTGCTTCCAGCTTTGGAGACACTGCAGGTCCCACAAAGCTCATCTTCGTTTTCTCTTTCTCCTCCTGCTCTGACAGAGTCGTCCAACCCTAAGACTCTGCCCTCCTCGTCTCGCTCTGCACTCACTCTTCCATGGGCGCCTCCCCCTGGAGCTGCACTTGCCTGTACACGACTCCGTGCCCTCGCGCCAGCCCTGGTTCAGAGCTGTGGTCAGTCTTGTCTTTAGAGACCAGCTCCACCTGGGCAACTCACCTTCCCCTCTAACTCAACATTCCCAAAACTGAACCTACTCACTGCTTGAGATTGTTTTTCTCCCTTCTTACAAAGCATATAAGTATTTCCATAGTGACACCCCCTTTCTTCCAGTATCCCAGGCTGAAAGAGAATGGAGAATGACGCTTAAAGTAGAAATGATAGTAGAAACTACTGGATATGGGGATATATTGGGCGGAGAAAAACTCCAGTAAGCAAATTATCTGGGTGCTTTTCCCTTCAGACCCAGTGAAGACAAGGACGTGGGCTAAAGGATACTGTAGGAAGTCATTCTTCATTCTAATCCATTACAATGTTCCTAATGCACTCTCTCCTTTATGTCAGGTCCCTGCTCAGGAAGCCACAAAACCGAGTCTAAATCCTTCTCTCAGGCTTTCAGAGTCCTTCAGAGCCCTCTAGTCCCTGCCCTTGTTCAGCTCTGTCTCCCAGTTTGGTTTCTTTCCAACCAAACTGGTCTCTTCCCATCCTCTTCCCACAGGCCTTTCCATTCCCTTCACCAAGCATTTACTCCAACAGTCACCCACCTGGAATTCCCTTCTGCTGAGGTGCAGCTCAGCCTCTGTTCCTCTGAAAGCCCACTTCCACTGTCCTTACATTGATCTCGCTTCCCGAGGTGACAGTCACGGCAAGTCTAACACCACAGTGCTCTCCATGTTGAGTGGGGCAGTTAGGGCTCCCTCCCTAGACTCTAAACTCCGTGAGGGTCAAGATGTATCCCTAATGACAGGATGATAATGACGGCATAAGATCTATGGAGCAATTTCTATCAATTTGTTTAATTTTGGTCCAGAAGTAGACCACAGCTGGAGGGTAGCTGAAGACAGAGAATTTAACAGAGCTCCTTAAGAGTGATAATGACATGGAAAGAAATGAGGACAGATTAGAAATTGGAGTAGGTCACACAATGAAGGAACATACTTTTTAATTGGTCTGATTTGAAAGTCTGATCTTCAAACGTTATTTCCTTCTCACATGGACATGCCCCTGGCTTATGTCCTGTCTTCTACAGCTCAGCAAGCAGCCCAATATAAAGAAGAGTCCGCTATAGCAAAGAATAACCTAGAGGATTCCCAGAGGAAACTGCAAAGCTGCATTCTCTTGGAGAAGCAGAAGGCAGACACCATCCAGGAGCTACAGAGAGAGCTCCAGAAGCTGCAGAAGGGTTCCTTGATGGCTGGAGAGGAACTTGCTCCCAACAGGTACCCCCGGTTTACCTCCCGAGAGCCGCTGTGTGAGCCTCTCAGGAGTGGGACAGCCAGCTCACAGTCCACCAACACAGACAGCAAGTCCACTCTCCCGTTGTTGCCCTTTTGCTTTAGGAAACGGATAGAGGAGCTGACATCTGAACTCTCCGAGGCCCTGAGGAAGCTTGAAAACTCAGACAAGGAAAAGAGGCAGCTTCAGAAGACAGTGACTGAGCAGGAGATGAAACTGAATGACATGCAAGATCGTATTAAACTCATTCAACACCAGGTATGAAGGCCAAGTAGGCAGCCAGCTCAAGCATTTGATCTGCTTAACACTAAATATATTGGTCTTTATTTGGGAAGATGCCACCACCAATCCATGCCAAACAAACTGTCCAAAATTTGTGTTAGAACTAAGATGTTGAAAATAGTCAGACAATGTGTCATTCCCCCTGATTCCCACCGCACCCCTGGGATTCAGAAGCTATCCTTGTCAGTTAATTTAAAGTCTTTGATTTCTGAATTACTCTTTTTGTGCTTTTCTCAGATTTTTAAAATTTTTTTTAAAATATGTTTTTATTGATTTTTTTAGAGAGAGAGGAAGGGAGAGATAGAAACATTGATGTGAGAGAGAAACATCAATAGGCTGCCTCCTGCACACTCCCTGTTGGGGATCAAGCCCCAAACTGCGGCATGTGCCCTGACCGGGAATTGAACCAGGACCTTTCGGTCCATGGGACGATGTTCAATCCACTGAGCCACACTGGCCAGGCAGATATTTTTTAAATTTCATTCAAAGAGGGTTTATGTGGAAAGATTTGGTAAGTGGGAGAGAAGGTAAGCTGGATCTATAAATAAAATAAATTGGTATACCTAATTGAAAACTTTAAAACATTGCTGAACATCAGAGGAAACTTTCTATAAATAACCAAGGAGTTGTCCTCATATTTATTTCAACCATTCCCTGTGTACAATTGTCTGAGGTTGCTTGTTTTTCCAAAAATATACAGCCTAAAACCACCTTTCAGTTCAGTTTTTATTTTCTCAGCACAGAGAGCTAACCTCCACCAAAACCACCCTAGAGGAGGAGCTTAAGGAAGTAACAAGGTTACTGGAGGAGAAACGGGAACAGTTGAAAAAGAGCAAAGAACAGCAGCAGTTGCTGGAACTAGAGATTGAGTCACTTCGACAGGAAGAGAGAAAGAAAGAAAAGATGGTGAGAAGGAGAACCTTGGAAGGCTGAGGGTCACGAGTACAGGGCCAGACATGAGCCCAGTCAGGCCTGGTGGGAACAGAGGCTGTGGGTGCTCAGACCTCAGGAGAGGAGGGAGCAAAGTTAGGAAAGGCAAGTGGGGAGGCAAGAGAAGGCCTGAGATACCACAGGCGCAGAATGGAGCTGTGGGGAAGGGAGAAGGAGTGGGGTTCTGTAGGAGTCTGAGGGTAACTATCACCTCTTTCCTGGCTTTTTTCTTTAATTGGGGAACAGTCAAAAGAGGCTTTGCGAAATTTGGAGGAGGAAAGTGAGAATACCCAAATACAGCTTAAGCAATATACTACACAACTAGAGTCCGCTATCATCAAACAGAGCACCTCCCAGAAAGTCATCCAAGAGCTGAATAGTGAGGTAAGTAGACAGAAACTCCAAGGGGGTGAGGAACCTGAACCCTATGTCCCTTGACCTGAAATCGGCTCCTACCTCTCCTCGGCCACAGAAATGCAGCTAACTGCGGGGCCCATATGCACCCTGTGGTACCGGCAGCTCCACTTTCTTCCTTGAAGTGGGGACGCCTTCAGTGCCCAGTTGCTCAGCCAAAGACCAGCTTCTTCTACATGGGGACAGTCTTATTTTTAAAATATCTGGTGGAGCCCTGGCTGGTTTGGCTCAGCGTTTGGAGTGTCAGCCCACAGACAAATGAGTCGCGGGTTTGATTCCAGTCAAGGGCACGTACCTGGGTTGTGGTTCATCCCCAGCCCTGGTCAGGGTCATGCGTGAGGCAACCAATCTATTTGTCTCTCTCACATTGATCTCTCTCTCTCTCTCTCTCTCTCTCTCTCTCTCTCTCTCTCCCCATCCATCCATCCATCCATCCATCCCACTCTATCTGAAAATAAATGGAAAAATATCCTCAGGTGAGGATTTAAAATAAAATATCTGGTGGAGTTCCTGAGCTCCCAGACTATCTGAGCTGCGGCATCAAGTCTTCCAATGTTGAATTTGAGACCAGAGTTGAGTGAATCCATTGTTTGGGGCAATTTGCTAGGAAACACTTCCAAAAATAATATCAAAGCACAAAAGCACGATGGAAAGGGAGATGGTTATTTTTCACTACATAGATAAAGATGACAGAAATGAGTAAATGGAATCTAACTGTAGGTGGGGCACTGTGCTTGAGTTCAGTCATCATTATTGACCGTCTGCTTAGTCCTTTACATGCCTCTGTCTCCTTTCCTCCCAACAAGACATACATTACTATGATCCTCGATTTACAGAAAAAAGAAAGGTCAAAGCTTAAAGTGACTAATTAGTAAGTGATGGCATGGACCAGTATTTGAACCTGGATCCTCTGAGCCTAACATCTAACCTCTTTTCCCTTTATCCTGAATGGCAATACTTTTCCCCAACTGAATACATCCCATCTTCCTGGGCAAGAAACAAATAGAGCATCTTAATAGGTGGTCTCTTGGGTTACAAATGAGAGACCAGCAGCTCTGGTTCCTTCACAATATTTTTTTAAGTTAATCTTAAAATACTATGACTAGTCTAAGTGTAAGAACAGCACTGCCCAATAGAATGTTCTGCAATGATGAAAAAGTTCTAAATTATAGCTGTCTAATACTTTTTTCCTCATGTGGCAATTGAGTGCTTGGAATATGGCTTAGTATGACTAAGGAACTGAATTTATAATTTTAATATTAACTATCTTTAGTTTTATTTAACTGTAAATAGCCTCAAATGGCTAGTGTCTACCATATTAGGCAGCATAGAAACTCAAGTTCTTGGAGTTTTTCCCTCCAGGGATATAAATCTCTCCTTTATTGTGATCCAGATTTCAGTTCTGAATCACTCATATCTCCAAGTAAATAAGGGATACTACCTAAGTATTTAATATGGGCCTGTCCTTACATTTGCCAAAAGAAAGATGGTCATGTAAATATGGAATTAAAAGCACTAATTTCAGAATTCATTTGGTGGGAATCAGAAGGCTAGAGGGTTTGTGTGTAAGCATGTTTCACTTTTTAAAAATATGCCTCAATCATGGTAGACTTATTGAAATAGCCATTAAAAAGAGACTTCGTTTTGCATTCTAAAATGTATTTTTCTTTCATCAAATATTCTTAATTTTAAAATTTCCCATTTGAAGTCGGAGCAATATATATTGAGATGCTTTTCATCTCTTTGAATCCAGGACATTTTCCTATTATATTTTATAACTAGTCACTGTTAATAATAAGAAAGCTAGTTTATTTTATATATTTATTCTGTATTTTAACATTCTATTAAACTCACTTATAAACAGTAATTGTTTTTCAGTTGCTTTTCATGGCTTTTCTAGGTTATGGTTAGATCATTTGCAAGCAACAATTTTCTAAGCCTCTGTAATATATATATTATTTCATTTTTCTTGCCTTATTGCATTAGATAGTACCTATAGTGTGCTGTTTCTTGCTTTTGATGTCAGTGTAATTCATGTTTCAGTATGATATTCCTTGTTATGTGTAACTAAAATTAATTAATTGATCCTAATTCTGGCCCATCCTTTCATTCCAAGTATAAATTCTGACAGTTTATCATGTATCACTCTTTCAATCACTCTTTGGAATGTTTTAAGAAGTGAAGTAAGGCCGGTATGACTATAATGTAGTAATCAAGAAGGATATTAGTATAGGATGAGAATAGAAAAAGCCCTGGCTGGTTTGCTCAGTGGTTAGAGCATTGGCCTACGGTCCAGAGAGACCCAGCTTCGGTTCCCGCTAAGGGCATGTACCTCTGTTGCAGTTTGTCCCCAGCCCTGGTTGGGTCGTGCAGGGGGCAGCTATTCAATGTGTCCCTTTCACTTCAATTTCTCTCTCTCTCTCTCTCTCTCTCTCTCTCTCTCTCTCTCTCTCTCTTTCCCTCCCTCCCTCCCTCCCACTCTATCTGAATAAAAATTGGAAAAATGTCCTCGGGTGAGGATAAAAAAAGAGAGAGAGAGAATAAAAAGACAGGAAGGGGCAGACATTGTGGCCTCTGTTAAGAAATTTTGGGTTTTATTCTAAGAACAATTGACAGACAATGAAATTTCCTCTAGGGGCAGGAGAGTGATTTTATCTGATTTAAGTTTTCAAAATATAACTTAGACTAATGTGTGGAAATGGATTGGGGAGAGGGGTTGGTGTGGAAGTGAGGTAACCAGTTGGGAGGCTATTGCTATCTAAGCTCAAGTGGTGTCATTGAAGACAGAAATTAGCAAATTCAGGATGTGTTTTGGCAGAATTGACTAGACTAACTAAAAGTATGAATGTGAGAGAAAGTGAGAAATTAAGGAGGACTTAGTGGAATTCACCTATAAAACCATCTAGGTCTAATGCCTTTGTCAAGGAGAAAGTAGATCTTTATGAGAACCTTTATTAAAACTCCTTGATTCTATAATTTATACATGTGTATGTATATTATATAGTTTTTAAAATATCTTTTTCTAAGCTAAACCACTCATATTAGAGAAATTTAAGATAAAGCTCCCATTTTAGTTTCTAGCATCATTGGGATATTTTACCACCTTTATTTTTAGTATCTCACCTCCATGGAAACATTTCTTGATTCAGCCACCAATTATCAAGAGCTTACAGTGAATTGTTATTTCTCCAATGACTCCTCTGGTTACTGTGCAGACCCAGTGACTTTATGTTTTTCAGGAGTCTCCCGAAACAGTGTATTATTTGCAGAAGACCAAAGTATTCCATCTTTAGGATTAGTTTCACCCCTCAGACATGTAAATATAGGGTCTAACACTTCTCCCATTCACTAATTCCTAAGGTCAAAGATATTTAGAATTCCACTTGAAAACATAATAAACTTCAAGCGCTGAGCAGTTACTGAAGAAACCCTCAAAGCTTATGTTTCTGTGTGTGTGGCACATGGAGAATGCAGGTGTACTAGAATACCAAAAAAACAGAAGTAAGGCGTATGAATTTCTAAGGTCTCTCTCTTGCTTCCACACTTAGATGTAGATCTCTGTCCTGTACTTAAAGTATATAATAAGATGACTAATTACTTAGCATCTTCATGATCATAACTCACAGCTATATAGTATTTACATCTTACAAAGCCCTTTTTACTTCTCACTTGATCATCACGAAAACTCTATGAAGCAGTTGAAAGTATCCCAATTTGCAGAAGAAGAAACTGAAACTCAGAGAGATTAAGTAAATGACAGAACCAGGACTTCAACACAGGTCCTCTAACTGCAGATCTCAGTTCCTTTTTAATGGTACGTGGCCCTAGTGGAAACCGAACCCGGGACTCTCTGGTCCGCAGGCCGACGCTCAACCACTGAGCCATAGCAGCCAGGGCCTCAGTTCCTTTTAACAAGCAAGATACTTATGACAAGTTTAAGACACAGACTTTAGCTTTTTTCTAAGTATACTTCTGCCAGAACTATGTATTCATTGCATCTCTAATTCCAGACATTGCCCAATGCAATATTTCAGTTCAAAAAAATTATTTAATATGTACTGAGCCCCTTATGTGCCATGCCCTGAGCTGTAAATGGTGGGATACAGTGATGAAGAAAGCACGCACAGCCCTGGCCAGTTTAGCTCAGTGGTTAGAGCATCTGCTCACGGACCTGAGGGTTGAGGGTTCAATTCCCAGTCAAGGGCAAGTACCCCTTGCAGGTTTGATCCCTGGCCCTGGTTGGGGTCTTGCAGGAGGCAACCAATCTATATGTCTCTTTCACATCAATGTTTCCTCTCCCTCTCTCTCCCCCTCCGTCTCTTCCATTCTATCTAAAAATTAATGAAAAAATGTCCTCGGGTGAGGATTAACAAACGAAAAGAAAGAAAGCACACACAGCCCTGGTTTCGGGGTGCAGCAAGTCTGGCGAATTGTGTCAGGAACAAAGTGAGGCATGATGCACACAACTGAGATATTGTGCCATGCCTTCCGCCCTAGAACTGGATTCCAGATCTTTATCAAAGGCTACAGAATCCGTGAAAGGGACTTTTTGTGTATTTTACACGTCATGGTCCAGTACCTCCAGTAGTCCTTGTATTTGGGGAACATCTAACTAGAGGGGAACTGTGGGGAAAGGGGTACAGAAGAGCCTGGAAAGGCAGCTCTTCCTTTTACAACAAAGAGATGGAGATGGAGGTGTTATCACCTGCTGTTCTGCAAGTTAGTGCAGCGAGAAGAGAGCCCAGTGAATGCCTCTGTAGCCAAGAACCTGACAGTGATTCTCCCTCCCTAAAGATATCCTATCAGAAGGAGGCCTTAGCGAGTCTACAGGCCCAACTAGACAAGGCTATGCAGAAAGAGAAGCATTATCTGCAGACCATGGTCAGTAAAGAAGCCTACGATGAATTATCCCGGAAGTCAGCTGCCTGCCAAGACGACCTGACACAAGCTCTGGAGAAGGTGGGCCACACCCTGTGTCTCCAGGGCTGTTTGCGGCCAAGAGATGTTCTAGCAATGGGAGAGGCATGGGAGTCAATTTCCTATACCTTGGCTGTCACCAAGGCTGTCTGCAAACCTGGCATGAGCTGGGACATCTGTCCAGAGAAGGCTCGCTGCTGCTTAGTGAGGGTTTTGGGGAAGGATGGGGGAGCAAGGTAGAGGCCAAATCTAACAGATTTTCTGCCTGTGGGTGATCCGGGGCAAGGTTTCCCCAAAACCTGGATTATCAGGGAAATTGATGCCCCATTCCTGTGCTGATCATGTCTGGCTGCTCAGTTCATAGCACTAACAAGAGAGGAAACGAGGGAGGGAATGTGGGGATGTAGAAAACCAACTACTGTCACTTCCCACCCTCTCTGGGACACTAGGAAAGTAACAGGGTGTCTGTGCCACCTTGGGTGAGGGCAGGGAGGGATTAGAACCCTTCTCCATTTGGGGCTCAGCAGAGAGGGCCAAAGTTGTCTGATGGCCATGCTCATCCCCTTTGTCTTTACCTAAAGCTCAACCACACGATCTCAGAGACCAAGAGCCTGCACCGAAGCTTGACTCAGGCCCAGGATAGGAAAGTTCAGCTGGAAGACGAAATCATGGCTTATGAGGAGAGGATGAAAAAGCTTAACATGGAATTAAAGAAACTTCAAGGCTTCCATCAGCAGAGTGAGGCAGAGGTGAGGAACAGCCTGGGGCTCAGCCCGCCTCCCTGTTCCAGGTCCCCAAGGTCACCTCTTGCACCCAGAACTATTTAGCACTGAGCCATAATGAGTTCCCTCCCCTTGTTTGGTTGGCCCTGTGAGCTTCAGGAGGAGGCAAGGATCGGAGCAGGGGTGCCCTCTGCTGACCACTGGAAATAAAATATCCCAAAGCCCAGAAAGAGCCCTCTGGCCTGGTCAGGGGTGGCCAGCTGGGGTCTCCGGCTCACTCTGCACTCCTGAGCAGGTACAAGCCTTCGACAAGAAGCTGGAGGAGATGAGCAACCAAGTGCTGCAGTGGCAGAAGCAGCACCAGTGTGACCTCAAGATGCTGGCCGCCAAGGAAGAGCAGCTCCGGGCCTTCCAAGAGGAAATGGCCACCCTGAAAGAGAACCTCCTTGCCGACGAGAAGGAGGTAGGCACTCTCGGCCTCTTCCCGTTCCTCCCAGCACCTCCTACAACCACCTGGTTGCCAGACAGCCCGTGGCGGGCATGGAGGTGCCTGGGAGCAAGACACCCCTCTATTCAGTACAAAGCAGGGCCTGGGTGCTCTAGGCCCGAAGCATCTGTCTCAACCTAACCATCTTCCCGTGGCTTTGTTGATAGATACATTGAGTAAAACAAAAGTCCCATTCTAGGGGAGGAGGAGTGCCATCTCCCTGTCACCAGTCACCCCTGAATTAGATAATCCACTGCGCAATTTCCCTCCTGAGCCCATCCTGACACTTTTATTTACCCTACAATAGAGTCAGCTAAGAGATCTTCGGGCATTCCCTGTGCCTGGCACCCTAGCAGTGAAATTCATGGCAGGAAGCCTCAGGATACTTTGGGGTGGCCACAGGGCCTTTGCTCCAATTAGGAAAAAAATAAAGGCATCTTTCTCAAGATAATTTTTCTTCCATATAAAAAAAAATTGGCTTAACATATTGCTTTTTTAGAACAAGCCACTTTAATGCCTTTGGCCTGAAAATTATTATTCTAAGTGTACAAGTCCACTTTGTCTCTACTATAAACGGTGCCTGCTTAGAGATGTCACTTTTGTGTGGGTGTGGCCTGCACTGCTGGAGGTGAAGTCCTGCTGTGGCAGTTCCAACCCTGGCCTCGGGATCGGACAGCAGGGTCAGTGTTTCCTCTCCCAGGAGACTGGCTTGGAAGTGAGGCTGTGACGGGCCTATGCTTCCACCCCTTGCTGTCTCATTGTCTTCTTGTACCCAAGCCCTGTTGCCTGCCCCAGCGGTCTGTGCCCAAAGACACCTGTAGGCTGCACCGAGAGAATGACCAGATCATGACCAACATGGAGCAGTGGGCCAAAGAGCAGAAGTAAGTGAGGAAGAAAAAAGTAAGGCAGGGTCTCAAGGGCTGGGCTGAACTGAGGACCCATACATGTGCCATACACACACATGCACGCACACACGCACGTGCACGCACACACACACACGTGCGCACACACACACACTGACCTTCTGGGAAGCTGATCCAGTCTCAGCCCACACCCAGGGCTTGGGGATGAGATAGCAGGCCCTGCTGACTTAGACATGGAGCAGCTCTGATAAGTGCTTCACTGAGGATCAGATTTTCTCTTCCCAACCTGGGGTCTACCTTCACTGCCCAGATCCCTTGAACTCTCCTGGGATCACAGGGAATTTGCACAGGAGTTGAGTGTGGAGAGACCTCTTAATTGCCAGATGCCAGAAGGCTCCAGCTCTGGGGGCTGGGAGATGAGCGGAGGCCTGGGGCCCAGCAGAGAAGCCTTGCTGAGAACCCCAATGTCCCATTTAGCCAACCCATGCTCTTGCTCACAGGTGTATGGAAGTTTTTTCTTTTGTGGATATTATTACAGGGTCGCCAATGAGCAACTAGGAAACAAGCTCCGTGAACAGGTCAAATATATCGCCAAGCTGACTGGTGAAAAGGAGTAAGTCATCCCACACCACCCTGGCTGCTGCTTGGGCCCTAAGGAGAAGAGTCAGCCAGGGCCAGGGCTGGCTTTTTCACTGGCTATGTGGATCAGACCCTGGGGCTTTGGAAAGACCCGAAGTCCTATGGGCATCTATGCGACCTCGGACACATCACTTTACCTCTGTGGGCCGTAGTTCCCTCAGCAACAATAAAAGGGGGCTAATAGTCTCCATGTGCCTTCCCACTCCACTTTATGTGATTCTCAGAGGTCAGAAATGCTGAGAAGGAAACAGGCACTGAAAGCAGACTGTATTAGTTAGCGTAGGGGCTAAGCTGCTGTAACGAGATCTCCAAATAAAGAGACATAGGACATAGAAGGAACATCTCTAGGAGGTAAGAAGTCCAGATTGGTGGGTTCCTCTGTCCCACGAGGTCATTTGGAGACCCAGTTCCTTCTACTTGTTGCCCTACCTTCCCCTGTGGCCTTGCTCCACTTTCATGGTCGAAGCTGGGTCAGCAGAGGGTGGCAGGAGAGGCATGTTAGGAGTCCGGGAATAGAGGTAAAGATATGGATGTCTAAAACCGAGATTTCAAAGGTGGTGTAGTTACAGGTAATGACAAGCTCTAGGGCAGTGCTTCCCAATCTTCTGTCTGAGAACCCTTAGAAAATGACCACATTTGTTTGGCACACTGGGAGGATCTGGGATGGGGTTGCTTTGACAAAGTTTACTGATCAGCAGCTGCCCCAAACTCTGCACCAAGGGTGGCGGTATCTCAACACGCCTAGAGCCCGTCTGTGCAAAGCTCAGTTCCGGGCATGGCTGAGTGGAAAGAGAGGACAAGATCACTGGAGTAGGGAGGTAGGAACTGAGAGGCCAGGACTCGGATAGAAAGTATGGAATGTTGAAGGCATCGGGATGCTGACAGGAGTGGACCGGAGAGTGGCAGAGCCAGGGAATGAGGGCACGGTGACCCCACTGCAAGCCGAGAGGCCTACGGATGTGGCGGCAATGTGAGGGGCCGCAAGGGAAGGGGTGTCTTCAATTCCGGCCAGGTTTATAAAGAGCAAGAGGGCAAAGTAAATGCCCGAAGAAGTTGAAGATGGATTTTTTATTTCATTTCCTTTAGGAAAAAAAAAAAACAATGACATTTTTTAGTAGGACAAAAGTATTTTCTGAAAGGGTTTAACGAAAAGAAAAATGGTCAGAATCTGAGGGTGACAGAGAACTTCAGGCTTTTTTTTAACATTGTGCTAAGTTTCTGGTTGTTCAGTTTCATAAAGAACTCCTTCTTGAGTGTGCTTGCGCCTATTTGAAGGAAAACCATCTTTGAATAGTAATAATAGCTCCCCTAATATTTGTTATGTATACATGTGAGGCCGTGTTCTCGGTGCTTTACATGCACTAACTTATATAGCCCTCCTGAGACCTCACCAGTCAGCTGCAGTTACCACCCCACTCACGGGTGAGGAAAGACGAGCCCATGGCCGCACACCTAGCAAGTGGCAAGCCAGCATTCCAACTCGGAAGCCAGGTTCCACAGCCCACTGTCACCACTGCCTTCAACATTGACCTGGAGAGATACAGCTATTGATATGAACAGCTGCCATTGATTGAGCCACAGGAAATAGGCTGAGTTGTCGTCCCCCTCACCTACATTACAGCCACCATTTTCTCATCTGTAAAATGGGGATAAGTTACTTGCCTGAGCTCTCAACAGAGCTGGACCCCTGTGCTTTCAACCTTTCAGCAAAGGGATGTGAAAGAACTTGGACCTGGGCATCAGAACTGGGTGAGGGTTTTCCGAGGCATGGCCATGAGAAACCGAGGACGTGATCAGAGTCCTTTGTAACAGCTTTCTGACTCTTCCAATCAAATTTCTATCATTTGTCATACTCAAGTGTCCCCATCTAACAGATAGGAAAACAGAGCCAGAGCTGAGGTGACTCAGTGGGTCAGGAGTCACCCCAACCCCAGGCCTGGGCCTCTCCCAGGGGACAGAGGCCTCCATTTCCACAGACGTGTGAGAGCATGTCTGGAAGGCCCTCCCTCCTGTGATGCCTTTAGCTGTCCCGTGGGGAAGCAAGGAGCTGAGCATACCAAACATCACCTGTCCTCCCCTCTCCTTCCCCAGCCACCTCCACAACGTAATGGTCCATCTGCAGCAGGAAAACAAGAAGCTGAAGACCGAGATAGAGGAGAAGAAGCTGAAATCCGGGCACCCAAGGTTATGCACTAAAGCCCTGAGCCCGTGCAAAATGGAGCCCATGCCAAGGGCGAAAGTGTGTGGCTCCTTAGGCTGGAGAGGGATCACCCAGGGCATGAGCCAAAGAGTGGATGTCACCAAGTGTGCCGGGACTCCACGCTGCCCAGGTATGTCCGCCTGCCATTTGTCTCTCGCTGCTTACTGTGATGTTGTCTTAGTCCCATGGGTCAAAAAAAATAACAGCCTGGTATTATTTTTCAAGAGATTGCTGGATTGGGAATTCAAAAAAGAAAAGAAAACAGACCTTTTTCTTAAGGACGCAGGACCAGAGATCATCGCTTTCTTGTCTATAGACAGGGTTTGTTCTGATCTAAGGATCTTTGCTGGTACCCGAGTGCTCATGTCTCAGATCTGTCCCTTACCCTGGCCAGTCAGAATTGTGGGGACAAAAAGGGAGCAGGCGGAATAGGCATCTTCCTCCTGTCATGTGTTCTGGAAACCACATAACAGCACCCTGTCCCCTGCACAGCTGCCTTTTCTGCCCCAGAGACTCCTTGTTGACCCAGAGGGAACTTGCTGGCCGCCAAGGCCAGACCTTGAGGAATCACCTCATTAACTCCTCCTCAGATCAAGACTGTCATTTCCTCCCTGTCCCCTCGGACGCCTCATGTTGCTAGAATCAGTGCCTTTCCCTGAGCATCATTTCCACACACTTTTTCAGAGGACAGTGGGTTCCCATCCCTCTCTCTTGACCTGGATCAGCTTCTACAAGAACATATCAAGCAAGGTCCCAGCCTATTCTGCAATATGCTAACATTTATTCAGTTTTGTCCACTTCCTGCAGTGGACTGAGCCTTGAAACCATGCTTCCATCTCCAGGCCCAAACTCTAAAATAAAGGCATGAGCACAGCAGTCTCAGTGAGCTCCTGGCGGCCTGCAGACATCTCTGTCCCCTCACGTCCCCGGCAGTGTGTCCTCCCTGCTTTCTCTGGATTCTAACGATAGAGTTGTCCTTCACAGTTATAGGAGTTATAATTTCCAAAGCGGGCTTGTGTTTGTTTATAAACCAACAAGAGATAATTAGCTCCTTTTTCGTTCTTTCCATCTCTATCTGGAATTTAAGAGAAAAAAATCTAAAAACCTTAAAGAGGAAAGTAATCCTGAGTCCCAAAGAAAGGAAAAGAGATAAGTGATGCATTTTCCAAATGGAGGAGGGAGAGAGCCATCGCGGTCTCCCTGGCTACCACACTTCATTCCTCCTCCTAACAATTTTATTTTTCTCCTAGCCAGCTCAATACAAGTAAAACCCATTACAACAAACTCCAAGGACAGCTAAACTATTTTATTGTGGTAGGTTTTGTTAAACTGAGGACATGTCTACAATGTCTATTTCGGGTCTGTAGGAAATTGAGAGAAATAGTTACTAAGGTAAAGTAAGAGAAAGAAATGAAAGAGCTTGCATTTCGGGGCGTGGGGGGAGGGGGAGTGCAGGAAGAAACCCACTAGTTGGTACCAATTCTTATATTCTTGCCTCCCTCCCCAGCCAAACAAAAGCCAAGAAAAGGCACTGCTTATAGCAGCACAGGATGGCCCTCCAGGACCCGGAAAGGCGAATTCCGGAAGTGCAGTGTGGGGCAGGGGATGGGCACATCTGGTAGTTTCTGTTGTGGTGGGTGTTATCTGTTTGTGCTCTTTTGACTGTGTTCCCCCATTTGACTTAGAATAAGGATATATTTTCGAGAGAAAACAAAGACTGAAGAATCTGGTACTAATAACAGCTTCCTAGTTCTAGCCTGAGGACCATTTATTTAAACGAAAGTTAAATGTCATTAAAATCCCCAGTACAGTCTACTAAGAAGGCATTTTGTCTATAATTTACACAAAGGCTCCATATATGTTGGTGAAAGTGACAAAATCTGGATAATTTGAACGCTGTACATTTTTTCAAGGTTGTCTTTCACTTCCTGTGGGGTGATTACACCAGAGCCAAGCAGACAGCAAGGGAGTTATGGGAGCAAAGGGGTAGCAGAGCCAGAAAAACATCACTATGTCCCTCAACCATCTGGCCTTCAGACAGAAAACTTGCTGGAGTAGAGGGTTGGACTCAGAGAAATGTAGTTTCTCTAAAGACAGGGGAAAGGGCTGGGGAGCTGAGTGTTGCCCGCCTATAGTTCTTTTCTTTTTTTATCCTTACCTTAGGACATTTTTCTATTTTTTGTTCAGATAGAGTAGGAGGGAGAGAGAGAGAGGAAGAGAGAGAAAGAGAGAAACATCAATGTGAAAGGGACACATCGAATGGCGGCCACCCACACAACCCAACCAGGGCTGGGGATAAACTGCAACCAAAGTACGTGACCTTAGCGGGAACCGAACCCAGGTCTCTCTGGACCGCAGGTCGATGCTCTAACCGCTAAGACAAACTGGCCTGGGCTGGCCTATAATTCTTTAAGCAAAACCAAAGAAGTTAGTTCCTAAGAAGTAATTTGAACAGCCGATTTCTTTTTTAAACAGTCTCTATATGATACTTAATAATGGACACGTCATTACACATTTGTCCAAACCCATAGAGTGTGGGTCACCAAGAGAGGCTCCTAATGTAAACTGTGGACTTGGGGGAATAATGATGTATAGGTTCATCTCTGGTAACAAGTGTATCACTCAGGTGGGGGACTGGATAATGGGAGAGGCTGTGCCTGTCCAGGGGCAGGAGAAGTCTCTGGACCTCCTGCTCAATTTTGCTGTGCACCTAAAACTGCTCTAAAAAAATAACAGAAAAGAAAAAATGATTACAAAGCTAGGACCGAGCCAAGGGGATTATGAATAAAATAAGTGGGAGATTCCAAAACGGCGGCAGAGTGAACGGAAGCTACACAGACCGTCTCCCAGAACCAAACTGGAATTACAACTAAAACACAGACAAATCAACAGGAAAAAGCAACAGAAAAGCAGCTTGCAAGGACCATATAACCAGGGACACTGACTCAATCCTCGTAGGCTTGCAAAGGCACCAGACCAGGGCTGGGAGCCCACACACAGCAGCAGCCTTAGCTGGGAGTGGTGCCCTCGGGCTAAACTCCCAAGAGGCTCCACAGCGCAGGGACAGAAGCTAAAACAGCAGCAGCCACTCACCTTGGGCTTCAGCAGAGGGAGGGCAGACTGGACTGGAACTGTGTGGAGACCTAGGGATTTGGAGGGCACTCAGAGCTTTTGCTGAGTTGCTGCCATGCAGGACGGTGACCATATTGCTCCTTCCCAGGGCTCTGGGGAAAGGCAGCAGCCCCTCCCTCGGAGATCCAACCCCACCCTGTGGGCCATTGAAATGCTAATTGAGACTCATTAACAACCAGCATCTGCCCCACCCTCAGGAAACCCGCTTATGCTGAGCACCTGAGGGAGTTTTCCAATCAACTGACAACCCAAAACTCTTCAAGTAACCTCGACTGCTAGCCTCCAGGCAAAAAGTTAGAGGATAATAGTACCTTTCCTGGGCTAGCAACTTTAACCAGGAAAGTAAGACTTGACGGTGGTGTTTAACGTGGGTCCTCCTTCGCTCATCTAAACCCAGGAGAGGGAGCCACAAACAGCAGAACAACAACACCCACAGGGAAAACTTGACAGGCCCCAAAGCCCACTGTCATAGCCAAAATGGTGAAACACAGAAACAGAAACCAAATGAAAGAACAAGAGACCTCCACCAAAGATGAGATCAATGTGGAGCAGTTAGGCAAGTTAACAGAGCTAGAATTCAGAGCCATGATCTTGAAGAAGCTCAACAGTATGAGTAAAGACATAGAGATGCTGAAAATAAACCAATTGGAAATTAAAAACCACCAAGAAGTAATCAAGAGTGACATTTCAGAAATAAAAAACACATTGGAAGGTCTAAAGAGCAGAGTAGAGGAAGCTGAGGACTGGATCAGTGAATTAGAAGACAGGGTAGAACAAAATCAACCAATCAGAAAACCAAAAGGAAAAAAACAATTAAAAAAAAAAGAAGACAGCTTAAGAGAACTGTGGGACAACTGGAAACGGAATAATATTCACATCATAGGAGTCCCTGAAGAAGAAGAAAATGAGCAAGGGTTAGAGAATATATTCACAGAAATAGTGACAGAAAACTTCCCTAATTTGGTGAAGGAAGAAGGCATTCAAGTTCAAGAAGCACAGAGAGTCCCAAGTAAGAAGAACCCAAACAGGCCCACACCAAGACACATAGTAATTAAAATGCCAAAAATTCAAGACAAAGAGAGAATCCTAAAAGCAGCAAGAGAGAAGCAACAGGTTATCTACAAAGGAACCCCCATAAGGCTCTCAGCTGACTTCTCACAAGAAACACTACAGGCCAGAAGCAAATGGCATGAAGTAATCAAAAACAAGGATCTGAATCCAAAACTACTCTATCCAGCAAGGCTATCATTCAAAATAGAAGGTCAAATAAAGAGCTTCCCAGACAAAAAAGGCTAAGGGAATACATTAGCACCAAACCAGCACTGCAAGAAATGTTAAAAGGACTTCTGTAATTAGCAGTAGAAATGGGAAGAAAAATAGAACCACACTAAACAAAAATGGCAATAAACAAGTAAATATCAATAATCACCTTAAATGTAAATGGACTGAATGCTCCGATAAAAAGACACAGAGTATCTGATTGGATAAGAAAGCATGACTCATCTATATGTTGTTTACAAGAGACCCACCTCATAACAAAAGACTCACATAGGTTGACAGTGAAGGGATGGAAAAAAATCTTCCAAGCAAATGGAAAGGGAAAAAAAGCTGGGGTAGCAATACTCATATCTCATAAAACAGATTTCAAAATGAAGGCCATAACTAGAGACAAAGAAGGCCACTACATAATATTGAAAGGATCTATCCAACAGGAAGATATAACCTTGATAAATATATATGCACCCAATATAGGAGCAACAAAATATATTAAAAATCTTCTGGAGGACGTCCAAGGAGAAAACCAACAGCAATATAATCATAGCAGGAAACGTCAACACCCCGTTGACAGCACTGGATAGATCCTCTAGACAAGAAATTAGCAAGGAAACAGAGACTCTAAATGAAGCACTAGAGCAAATGGATTTAATAAATATCTATAGAGAACTACACCCCAAAACTACAGAATTCACATTCTTCTCAAGTGCACATGGGACAGTCTCAAAGATAGACCACATGATAGAACACAAAATAAATCTCTACAAGTTCAAGAAGACTGAAATCATATCAAGCATCTTCTCAGATCACAATGGCACGAAACTAGAAATCAATTGCAACAAGAACATGCAAAGACATTTGAACACCTGGAGGCTAAATAGCATGTTATTAAACAATGAATGGGTTACTGAGGAAATCAAGGAGGAAATTCAAAACTTCCTGGAAATCAATGAAAATGAACACACAACAACACAAACTCTATGGGATGCGCAAAAGCAGTTCTGAGAAGGAAGTTCATAGCACTACAGGCCTACCTCAAGAAACAAGAAAAATTTCTAATTGACTGTCTAACCTCACAACTTAAAGAATTAGGGGAAAAAAAAAAAAAAAAAAAAACAGAGCAAGTAGAAGGAAGGAAATAGTAAAGATCAGAGTATAAATAAATGACATAGAGACCAAAAACACAATTCAAAGGATCAATGAAACATAGAGTTGGTTTTTCAAAAAGATAAACAAGATTGATGGACCCTTAGCTAGACTCACCAAGAAACAGAGAGAACCCAAATACACAAAATCAGAAATGAAAGAGAAGAAGTAACAACCGACACCACAGAAATACAAAAGATCAAAAGCTACTATGAACAACTATATGGCAACAAATTCGACAATCTAAGCAAAATGGACAAATTTCTAGAAAAACACGGTCTCCCAAAACTGGACTGGGAAGAGGTAGAAAAATTGAACAGACCAATAACAACTAAGGAAATTGAAGAGGTAATCAAGAGTCTCCCAGCAAACAAAAGCCCAGGCCCAGATGGCTTCACAGGGGTTTTACCGAACATTCAAAAAAGAACTAACAACCATTCTCCTCAAACTATTTCAAAAAATTCAAGAAGAAGGAAGACTTCCAAACCTGTTCTATGAGGCCAGCATAATTCTAATTCCAAAACCAGATAAAGACACTACAAAGAAAGGAAACTACAGGCCAATATCCCTGATGGACATAGACGCCAAAATCCTGAACAAAATACTAGCAAATCGAATCCAGCAATACATCAAAAAAATTATTCACCATGACCAAGTGGGATTCATTCCAGGGATACAAGGCTGGTACAATATTCGCAAATAAATAAATGTGATACACCACATAAACAAAATGAAGAATAAAAACCACATGATCATATCAATAGATGCTGAAAAAGCATTTGACAAAATCCAGCATCCATTCTTGATAAAAACGCTCAGCAATGTGGGAATAGAGGGATCATATCTCGACATAATAAAGGCCATATATGAATGACCTACAGCCAACATCATATTCAATGGGCAGAAACTAAAAACATTTCCATTAAGAACAGGAACAAGACAGGGATGTCCACTTTCGCCACTCCTATTTAACATAGTACTAGAAGTCTTAAGCACAGCAATCAGACATGAGTAAAAAATAAAAGGCATCCAAATTGGAAAAGAGGAAGTGAAACTGTCATTATTTGCAGATGACTTGATATTATACATAGAAAACCCTAAAGACTCCATCAAAAATCTACTAGAATTAATTAATTT